CGGTTTGGGGAGTGATATGCTTCTGCTATGGCTGCTGCCGCAGCAGGGCTGACTCTGTTAAACTGCTGGATTTGTCTCTTCCATGCCTGTCGGAGTCCTGTCCCATCCTTCTCCACTCGCACACCACTGGACCACTTCCCATCAGTGCAGAAGGAGAATAATTCAGTCTCCCGTTGTTTCCTGCAGAAAGCCAGACCCCTCAGAGCAAGGCCTAGGTGTGGCGCATGCAATGACCAATGCTGCATAGTCAGATCATGCCCTGTCCCCAGATTCAGTGAGGGAAAGAAGGGGGCCTTTTGTTTCATCTCTCACTGCTCCAGCAGGACCAGGATTGTTCTTTGCACCACTGGCCTTCTCTTCTGATAACCTGAAAATTGTTTTAATAACCTGAGTCCAGGATGCAAGTCCTTCCCTAAGCAAACATTTTCCAACAGAATCCATCATAGTAGCTGTGCCAACCATGCTCCCAGAGTCGAGTCACAAACCAAACAAAGGAGTGTCACAGGATCATTAGAACGGGGCACTGGAAAGGACTGCAAGAGTTCATCTCTTGGACTGAGGCAGGGTCACATATACCTAGACCAGGGGCAGCAAACTCACCTTCTGTCCCAGGCCAGATCTGGACTGTGGGGCTTCTTTATACCCCAAGATCTCATCCACATCCAGCCCAGGGTATAGGGAGGTTCCCATGGCAGTTGCAGCTCTGGCTCCTGCTCAGGTCATGCAGCAGTAGTAGCAGCAATAGGGGAGCCAGCAGCCAAGGAGCTGGGGCCATGTGAAGGGTGAGAGGTGAGGAAGTCATAGGTTGACTCGAGCTGTATCAGCCCTTGCTCACCGGCCTGACAGCTGCAGATTCTACAGCAGGCTACTTCCCCAAAACTACAACCCCAACTTCTGGTGGTCCACCAGTAGCCCAGCAGGCTGGAGACAGTGGCTCTGCAGACCAGATCCACCCCACTGGCCGTGTTTGACACTCCTGATCTAGACCATTCCTAGAAAACATTTGTCTAATGCCTTTTTAAAATCCTCCCATAAGATTTTATGATATTCTGTATTTGGGATCCAGCAGGGACAGTTTTCAGAGCAAGGGGTTTGGCGATACAAGCTCACTTGTATGGGCGTTTTGCTATTGCTTTAGTCAGTGCGGAGACATGCTGACTGAATTCCTGCCACGTGTCCAGGAATGATACCATAGTGTTAGCCCACAGCTGCAGCACCACCAGCACCTGCAGGAGGAGAACTACAATGACTGAAACATGCAAGACACAAAGCAAATTAGTCCCCTCCTGATTACAAGCCTGACTAGGTCAATCACAGGACAATTTGCAGCCCACACCCCATCTCCAAAGGCACCCAGCCTGCACAGACTTCCAGACAGCTGTGCTCATGTCAGTCACACAGAACTTCAGAGGCTCTTTGCTGGCAGAGCAGAACATGGAAAGGTCTCATCTATTTAGGCACAAGCCCCTCTCCAGAGATGGTACTGGCTTTTTCCTAGACAGAGGAAAGGATGGGCTAACTGCAGTAACTCATGTATATGGAATACAGCAGAAAAGCTCACTCATGCCTTCTTAGCTCCCAGTAAGCCAGCCAGTCATTCCCTTTTGGGGAATTCTCAGGAAAGACTGGAATTCAGTTAGAGACAGATGAGTGGTTTAGACTCCAAATATGACCTATTTTCAGACTGCTGATGTAGTAAGGATCTCAGTTAAGAATGTATTTGGTCACCAAGACACTTTAAAAATGCTTCAGTGGCCATTTCTTTAGAGCACACCAACAAAGTGGGTGTCAGGGTTACCTTCTGGTTGTGCAGCGGGGGGAGGGGGCACACGCTCACAAGTGGTGACCACAATAAGGGTGCCTAGATTTTGTTGTGGGCCACTAGGCAATAGTGCAAGCCCCATTCACGTTTCTACCTGGTTCTTCCATTAGTTCCTCTCAATTATGTTTTCTATGTCAGTTCCCTCAATAAAAGGACACAAGCACAGACCACTAAAGCAGGAGCCATCAAAAAGTCAACATCTGCCAACAGCTACCACAAACATCTCTGAAAATGTAGGTGAAAAACTTTGGTTGTATGATATACATGAACAATCACTGTTGATGATAATTTTTCATGGCAACCACCATAAGCAAGAGACCAGTGCTGACTCCCATCAGTTTGGAATATATCCAGGGAATGATGTCAATGTAAAGTATATCAAAAGAACAAAAGGAAGAAGCAAAGAAATTATACTTTTCAGCTTTCAGAAGCGCACACACGTGCATGCATACAAGTGCACACAGTAAAAGGCTAAGGCAGGATGCTACAGGGTGCCACATAATATTGCCACCACTAGGTGTGCAAACTCCTTCATATGATTCACAAGATAAACCCAGATATTTCAAATAGGAATTCAGTTTCAAAACTATTCTGCCCTGCTATGAACTTGCCAAGTTCTTTGCAATAGAAAATGGTTCTATTATTTTTCTGTAGTTCAAAAGTGAGTGAAAATTCAAAGCTGGCATTTTGCACAGGGGGGGTAGAAGAGGGGCCTTGAGTCTAAAAATTTTGAGAACGGTTGACTTAAGGAATAACATGACAGCATCCTTAATACGTTTTGGGTGGTTCAGAGCTGCTGACATACATCAGCATGATACCCGTGTTGAGGAAAAGCCCCAATGTAGAGGTGAGAGCAGAGTGGTTTTCTTGCAGGCTACACCAAAGTGCCTCGGAGATGCATCCCAGGAGGTGAGCAGAAAATGGAGCTTTCAGAACTTGGACTTATGATCCTGCTAGTACCAAACGACCCTGAGATGATGGCCTTGAGAAAACCTGTCTATTTTGGTACCAAGCTGAGACTGACAATGACTTCAAACAGGCTATTGGGGGTCAGGGGTATCCAGGCCACTTTCAAGTTGGGAAAGATTCTACCAACCTTGGCTACATCTGAACCAGCATATCATCACACAACTCCAAACTCCCTCTGCCTGGCAGCAAGTGTCACCATCCCCCACTTCCCTTTTTCCCAGGGCAGCGAAATAGGCAGACATTCTGTACTACACAAGATGATACCATGTGAGTCAGGTCAGCATATAACATTCCCAAGGGGTCACCAACAGGAACTTTCTCTTCCCACAGCTAGAACATCTATGACCATAAGCAACATTAGTGTTTGAAGCCTGTTAGTTTCACCTCCTCTATCTCCTGCTTTGTCATTGACAGCTCTGGGCAAGGCTGGAATCTGGGATCCTCCTGCTGACCCTGTTCTCCAGAGCACAGTGCCTGCTGCCTGTCCCAACCCCGATTGTACCTAGGGAGAAATGACACATGGTTCATATTCCCCAGCAATTCTTCCCTTAAGAACAGTCAGTACAGCCACAGACTACTGGCAGGACAGGCTATATCCTTCCATATTTGCCAGCTCCCTCCCCTACTAGAGGCTGGAGATGGAGGTGGCTACTAAGTTTGATCCATGCCACCTGCTCACCTGCTGCAAGTAGGCAAAATCTCCAGGCAACTTTGTACATCTGACACTGCCAGTATAACACTACGCTTCCATTGCTAGCCCCCTGGACCTTGCACAGAGCTGGGCTGAAGAACCACAATTTGGGAAAAAAGCCCCAGCTCCTGTTGCTGCTTCTGCAAAGGATGACAGCCACAAAAATTCAATGTGCTTTTATTACAGACAAGGCTGCAGCTGGCTAAAAATGACCACCACTTGGGCTGTGTGTGGCTATATGAACAGCCCATTATTTATGCTCCCTCCAGATCAGCAGTAACATGGGAGTAAGAGAAGAGCTTGACCCACTGAGTCACAGGGGACAGCAACAAGGGTGATGTTGTCGTGAGGGTCTGCTATAGACCACCAGACCAAGAGGATGTGGTGGACGAGGTTTTCTTCAAACAGCTAGCAGAAGTTTCCCGATAACTCCTGGTTCTCATGGGGGACTTTAATCACCCTGACATCTCCTGGGAGAGTAATACAACAGTGCACAGGCAATCTAAGAACTTTTTTGGAGAGTGCTGAGGACAACTTCTGGTGCAAGGGTTGGAGAGGCCAACAAGAAGCCATGCTCTTCTTCACCTGCTGCTCACAACTAGGGAAGAATTGGTGGGGAATGTAGTAGTGGATAGCAACTTGGGCAGCAGTGACCATGAGATGATTGAGTTCAGGATCCTGAGGAAAGGAAGGAGAGCAGCAGAGTAAAGACCTTGGATTTCAGAAAAGCAAACTATGACTCACTTTGGGAACTGATGGGCAGGATTCCCTGGGAGATGCATCTGAGGGGGAAAGGAGTCCAGGAGAGTTGGTTGTATCTTAAAGAAACCTTACTGATGGTGCAAGAAGGAACCAACCTGATGCACAGGAAGACTAGCAAGTATGGCAGAAGACCAGCTTGACTTAGCAGGGAACCAGTCAACTAAAACGCAAAAAGTAAGCTTACAAGGAGTGGAAACTTGGACAAACAACTAGGGAGGAGTCTAAGAGTATTGGTTCAGGCATGCAGGGATGAAATCAGGAAGGCCAAAGCCCAACTGGAGTTGCAGCTGGCAAGGGACATGGAGGGTAACAAGAAGGGTTTCTACAAGTATGTCAGCAACAAGAAGAGGATCAGCAACAAGAAGCTGCTCCTGTGGCTGCTCCTGCCGGGATGAGGTGGGCAGTGCTGGGGCTGCGCCGGGCCGCTGTGGGAGAAGCCGCTGCTTGTTCTGCTGCTCCCACTGAGGCAAGGTGAGGCAGGCAGTGCTGGGGCTGTACCCAGCAGCCATGGGAGAAACCGCGGCTCGTCTGGCTGTTCCCACTGGGATGAGGCAGGCAGTGCCAGGGCTGTGCCGGGCACCCACAGGAGAAGCTATGGCTCATCCAGCTGCTCCTGCTGGGGTGAGGCAGACAATGCCGGGACTTAGCCGGGCAGGTACAGGAGAAGCCATGGCTCGTCTGGCTGCTCCCCCAGCTGCTCCTGTTGGGGCGAGGCAGGCAGTGCTGGGGCTGCCCTGGGTGGCTGTGGGAAAAGCCGTGGCTCCTGCCGCTTGTCCGGGAGGGCATGGGAAGGGACTGTCCATGCACCATTCTGTTTCCAAACTTTATCCAAACTGCCCATAATCAATAAATCTGGTGGAAGTGATGTTTCTTCTTTTAAGAAACGTAGAACAATTACTATGGAAACAAAAATGGAAATAATTAAGATGCCCAGAAAAGGTGAGACCCCCCCACTGAAAGACAAGGCAAGCACGTTGGACTTACTGCTCAGGTTGAGAAACTGTTAATCATTTGGCTGGAGGATCAAAATAAATGCCAGGCTCCTGTGAGTTTAGGCATCATTCAGGAAAAGGCTGGGATTCTTTATGATGATCTAAAGCAACAACAGGGGAAGAGTTCTAATGCTGAGCCTTTTACTGCAAATGGTGCTTTGTGTGTTTTCAAGCCAGGGCCAACCTGCAAAACATCAAGGTTTCAGGTGAAGCTGCCAGTGCTGATGAAGAGGCAGCTCGTGCTTTTCCTGAGACATTGGCTGAAATATTGTGCTCAGCAAGTTTTTAATGTTTATGAAACTGGTCTATTTTGGAAAAAAATGCTGTTGAGAACCTACATTGCCAAAGAGGAGAAATCCATGCCAGGGTACAAAGCTGCTAAAGATAGGCTCACTCTTCTGCTTGATGCCAATGCTGCAGGTGACTTTAAACTTAAGCCTTTACTTGTGTACCATTTGGAAAACCCCAGAGCTTTCAAGGGACATTCCAAGGTATTTCTCCCAGTGATATGGAAATCCAGTCCTAAGGCACGGGTAAATAACAACATTTTTGAGGATTGGTTTAATCATCATTTTGTGCCAACTGTCAGGGATTACTGCAGCAAAAACAATCTTGCATTTAAAGCACTGTTAATCTTTGACAATGCTCCTGGTCATCCAACCATCCTTGCTGACATGCATTCTGACATCAAAGTCACGTCTCTGCCCTCAATACCACCTCATTGTTGCAACCCATGGACCAGGGGGTAATTGCATCCTTCAAGGCCTACTATTGGCGCACATTTGCCCAGGCCATCAGGGCAATTGAGAAGGAAGGTGGACCAACTCTGAAGGAATTCTGGAAGGGCTTCAACATTTACCATGCAGTTAAGAACATTGTTGAGGCATGGAATGAAGTCAAACAATCAAATTTGAATGGTGTTTGGAGAAAATTGTGTCCTAAGTTTGTGTCCGACTTCCAAGGCTTTACAGACACTTCTGAAGAGATGACCAAAAATGTTGTTGAAATGGGCAAAAAACTCAACTTAGATGTTGTACCAGAAGATGTTGATGAGTTGCTGGCATCACATTCTGAAGAATTAACTAATGAGGACCTCATTGAATTGGAACAGCAAAAAGTGGCAGAGGAAGAAGATGCAGCTACTGTTGAAGAGACTCCTCCTTGTAAAGTCTTGACAACGAAAAGTGTTGGCTGCCGTGTCCCTGTTTGAGGAACATGATCCCAATATTGAACACAGTGCATCAGTGAATAGGGGCATATCCAACATGTACAGCTGCTACAGAGAAATTTGCAAGCAAAAGAACATCTGTCCAAACTTCCTTGGACACTTTCTTTAAGAAAGCAGCCAAGACTGCAGATAAACCTGTAGCCAAGACTCCTGAGAAGACTCCAGCCAAAAACGCTTCAAAAAGTCCAACCAAGAGCCCTTCAAAAAGTCCAGTAAAGTCACCTCAAAGAAGTCCTTCCAAATCAATGTGATTGCTATTTACAATATAAATACATAAATAAATACATATATACAATAAATAAATTTAACTATATTATTTGTCTATAATTGAGTACTGTACTGTACAAAATTCTGGGTTATTTTTTGTGAAAGTAGGGTATCGGGCCTTGGTTCAGGAACCAATTCCCTACTTATAACATTGTTTCCTATGGGAAAATCAGTTCCGAGCTACAATGTTTTGACTTAAGACATGGTTTTCAGGAACCAAATTTGTTGCAAGTTCAAGGACTGCCTGTAATCAGTGTCTTTTTCACCTGTCTTCACAGGCAAGGTCAGCTCTCAGCCTACTGCACCTATCACCTGGGGAGAAGGTGAGCAGCCAACAGTGGCAAAAGAACAGGTTAGGGACTATTTAGAAAAGCTGGGTGTGTACAAGTCCATGGGGCAGGACGTGATGCACCTGAGGGTGCCAAGGGAGTTGGCTGATGTGACTGCCAAGCCACTGGCTATCATCTTTGAAAACACATGGTGATTGGGAGAGGTCCTGGATGATTGAAAAAAGGCAAATATATAGTGCCCATCTTTAAGAAAGGGAAGAAGGAGGAACCAGGGAACTACAGACCAGTTAGCCTCACCTGAGTCCCTGGAAAAATCATGAAGCAGGTCCTCAAGGAATCCATTTCTAAGCACTGGAGAAGCTGATTAGAAATAGTCAGCATGAATTCACCAAGGGCAACTCAAGCCTGGCCAACCTGATTGCCTTCCATGATGAGAAGACTGGCTCTGAGGATGCGGGGAGGGCAACAAAAATGGTGAGGGGGCTAGGGAACATGACTTATGAAAGGCTGAGGGAACTGGGCTTATTTAGTCTGAAGAAGAAAAGACCGAGGGGGGATTTAATAGCAGCCTTTAACTCTACCTGAAGCGTGATTCCAAAGAGGATGGAGCTAGACTGTTGTCAGCGGTGGCAGATGACAGAACAAAGAGCAATGGTGTCAAGTTGCAGCAAGGGAAGTTTAGGTTAAATATTAGGAATTTTTTTCACAAGGAGGGTAGTAAAACACTGGAACAGGTTACCCAGAGATGTTGTGGATTCTCCATACTTGGAAGTTTTTAAGACCCGGCTAGACAAAGCTTTGGCTGGAATAATCTGGTTGGGGATGGTCCTGCTTTGAGCAGGGGATTGGACTAGATGATCTCCTGGAGGTCCCTTCCAACCCTATGATTCACTGGAGATCCATCCCCAGGTTAGCAAGCTGTTCTGAGCTCCTCCTTATAGAGCAGTGAATAGGAAAGAGAGCCAACCTGCAGCATTAAGTACAGCTCCACTGCCTGTGTCCTCCAGCTCTGCCATTCCAGCGTGACCATCCTCTTTGGGTTGTGCATTGTTCATAAGGGTAAGAACACCCTATTTTACCTCAACATTTTCAAATTGTGTTGTGTGAGTTGCAGCTGGAAAATACTGTCCTGCCTGCAACCCATTACACCACTCCCCATCCACGAGTTCATCTGGAAACATGCTCTTGCTCACACAACCACCCTTCTTGCACACAGAGCTGCCTGGGGTGCTGCACAGTAGGTTGACATGGAATGCATTACAGCCACAACCTACACACCAAGCCTTGGAAGTTCAGCACTCAATGTCCCCCTTCTCTGCACTCACTACTCTAACTTCCCAGTGTGCTCCCAACACACGCACTTAGAACGTACCATCTGTAGGCATCCAGTCCAATGACAGCCAGGCTGCAATTTTTTGTGGGGGGCCCCTCCGGACCATCCAAAGGCAACACCTGGCTGAGATCAGGCCTGCTGTCTGATGGAGCACCGCTTAGACTCTGAAACAAAACAAACCAAATGAGCTGTAGACCTGTCAGATCAGTTTTTCCTCCTCTGTGAGAGATCTGCCAGGTAAGTCTAGTCAGTGGAAGAAGGTTGGAACTGTGGCACATTGTCCTTCATTTCTCAGCTATGATCTATTTTTGGCTGCAGGACTGCAAGGCTCTTGTGTCCTTTTTGCCTGCCACATGCTATACCCAGCCTAATTCCAGCTACTCCTCCTGGCTCACCTTTTCACTTACTGATCCATCAGCGATCTCCCTTTGGATGCTGACTGCTCCAGTCTAGCCTTTCATTTTCTACTGCATCTGTCTGAATGGAACTGTCACCTCCTCAGGGCAGGAGATTTGTCTTCCTAGGTATATATAAATAAAATGCCACGTGGGTCTACATCAAGTTCTAATTAACTGTAAATATGTTAATTTCAAAACTGTGTTTCTCCCAAGCTGTATGTGCTTTGAACATTTCCTTAATTAAAATATTAAAGGCATTCTCCATGTGTAAACACAAAGCACAGAAGGAGACAGACCTGGACTGTCTTATGACCTCTTAGATAATGTTCTGTCCCAAATTTAAGTCATGAGGCAGGACTTCTGCCCCTGGCCAGGGGGCATGCTAAACTCACTCAGACCTGACAGGCCTCCTCTTTTTTGTGTGCATTCTGAAATACTCATCTACCTGAAACCTCAATAATTTACTAGCAGGTTTGGCTAGTCCCCCCTGTTCAAAAGGAACTGTGTGGACCCTGCTTAACAGCTTATACTACCTGAAATACAGAAAAAAGACGCTTGAGAAAGTCCCTCGGATCTACCAGCACCAGCACCTCTTTTTCCTCTTCAGACTTCATCGTGGGACCATCCTAGGGAAATAAAAACAACTTCTAGTGGGATATAGGCAATGATCTACCACCTCTTCAGCCCTGAAATGTGCCCCAAATGAAATAAGGCTAGTGGGTCTCAGCCTTGAAAGACCATCTACAATAGACAGGATTAATTTTTGCAGTGCAGTAGAGCTTCAAGATCCAGGTTGAATGCCTATCTTGCTGGGATCCTTTGACCCTAGTTGACTTCCTGGCCCTTGGGCAGGGGACTGGACCAAATAATCTTATGAGATCCCTTCCAGCTCTAATGTCATTCCCTGAGTCAACAGCAGTTGCACATAACCTGTACTTCTGAGGTCACTCCATGGTCCAGTTGAGAATGACCACCAGAAATGTCAGGTCTAATAATTAAAGCAATTCATAACTCTTCCCCCAACCCTAGCTGTTGTCAATTTACAAGACAGGTGAGGAGGCCCTCAGAGAAGTGAGGACAGAGTGGATTTTGATGCTTACTGTACTGGATAAACTGTGAGGAATATTTCTCCTCCAGGTTATACTGTAGGGCACTGCCTGAGGCTCAATGCAGTAGCTACACTCCAAGGAACTCAAAGCTTCAATCAAGGCATCTGATCCAGGATCTTCCAGAAGACCTAAGGGAAGGGAGAGAACCAGTGAGGCATGGTGAGAGGAAGGAGGAAAGTATCAATACAAAACAACTTCATCAGTATTTATTTAAAGAGCAACTAAAACCCACGCAAAAAAGGTTTTGGGCCACAACTATTATTTCAAGCCTAAACACTGAATATTAAGCTCTGGTTGACATACAGCCTACTATGTCCAGACTAGGGCACAGGGAAATTTACAATGCACTATTAATTACCAGAAGCCCAGCTAGGAACACTTAATGTTGGCTGACACATTATATTACAAAGCCTATGTTACAGTTGTCTCTAATTTTGCCAAATTTAAACTGCCTGGGCTAAAATGTTTCAAGCCAGGTGTCTGCCTTAGGCTGTATACATCTAGGGAATTCAGCAAAATTATTTAACTTCTTCCAAGACTAGGCTCAGGGAAAAACACAGTTTGCCTACAAATGTTTACCACTGTGGAGCAATAATGCCCTGTGCTTTGTCACAAGGACTTGAGATTTGGATATATGGACATGCAGGTATCATGGAGTCACCTTTTGTTGCCCCTGTGAATATTCACCCACATGTGGCTAAGTTGTAGCCCTCTGAAAGGGAAAAAACCCCCAGTTTACACATGCTCAGGAGAGATGCGTTTACATTTGACAGGGAGAGATAAGGGCTTGGGGCCATGAACAAGAAATGGGCTGAGGCTGCAGGGTTGAAGGAATATGGTCAGCAGCTGCGAAACAGCATCAGGGACAGGGGTTACTAGATGGGGAACAGAGAAAAGCTGGAGGGGACATGGACAACAGAACGTCCATTAAAGCACATTCACCTACAGAACCTGGCACTGGACCATTCTCCCTGAATCTCAGCATTCTCGGGGTGGCAAATCGGCCAATTGACTGCATATTTTTTGACTGGTCAAAGCTCGGACAAATATTATAAGGCTTTCTGTGACTATAGCAACAAGAGATTCAAGTATTGTTTACAAAATTAGCTGTTGAAACTGTTTCAATTATATGGGTCAACTGTTTGATAACATATACCTACTATAGAGGACTGGGGGGGGCACGGGCTGTGTGTAGGGGGTGCACTGCAGGCTTGGGGCCCTTAATTGAACTGACCTTCAGTACATGTTTTTAATTTTATGGGCAGTGGATTTTTTTTGTAGTTTTCTTGATAGAAATATTATTTTTTAATGTTTTTGACACTTAAGGGAAAATTTGTGCTTTTTCTGTGTTTAGTTTTCTGCAAAAGATTTAATTCTGAAATAAATTTATTCCAACATTATGTAAGAAATTACTGCTTTTTAAAGTAAGTAAACAAAATATTATTTGACAATTTTTGACCAATATTTGACTGGTCAATTGACCAAATTTATTTGACTAGTCAGATACCCAACCCTACAGCATTCTTTTGCTGCCTGAAAACAGTAGCTGTTAAACTGACAAAATGTGTCTAATTCTACCTTTAGGGACTGATCCACATAGGGGATAGCCTTCTATAGCTATCACTTACTGCATAAGGCCAAGCAGCAGAAGACTGTGCTGTGAATCTAAAGGTTGCAACACTTTGTGTTTTTTAAATACTTTAAACACAATATTTATTTAAAACCTACAGTAAAAAGTAGGTTAAGTTGTTAATTAAATGCTTAAAAAGTGGGAAATTCCAGGATTAAGCATGCAACCTTATTTAATTTCCCCTGTGCGTATATGCATTTTGATAGTTAGACAATCACACACTTAGTTTTCCCACTCCATTATGCTACAGCATGCAAAGCCTTAGTCACAAGTCATCCTACTCTTCTGAGCAGAATTATTCCCTCAATTAAGAGTTGCAGGATCAAGCTCATACAACATATAGCACCAATGAAATGCAACCCATTCTGAGGAAGAGGACAATCAGCTAAACCACATTATGTTGCAGAAGAGTGGGAGCAGAGAGCAATCTGTAAAGCTGAGGTGAGCGAAAACCCTTAATTACACCAAGGTAAACTTGGAAACTGGAATGGACAAAGCTCTGGCAAGCAAAGCAGAGAACAATTCTTCATGGATGTTAAGGTGGGCACCTGCAGCTCATTCCTACATCTATTTCTGTGAGGATAATGACTACACATTTTAAGTTAGCTGCGCTGCTAGAGAGATTATTGAACTCTTTAGATGCTAGTACAAACAGACAGCACGGTTAGAAGCATTTCAGAATAACTCAGTGTTACGTACAAGCCACGGTACAGCTCTTTAAGTGCACTGAACAGAGCTTGATCTAAGGCAACATTGTGGGAAATTAGCTGAGATTATCTGAAGAATTCCATCCTGTCAGAGAAAGAGAATAGGATTGAACAGAAAATGTGCAGCCCCAGATAACTAGCCAGGCATATTTCAGGAGTTAACATTTCTGGACACAGCTTACCTGTCCTCAGAAATGGACCTGCATGACAGGCAATCAGCTCTGAGCCTGTTTTCTGCCCCAGCTTTTTGATAGTTTGTGCCTTATGATGCTGAATTTACCGAATAGCATGGAGCATCCATGCCTCATGGCCTGAGACTAAATATAGTTACCGTAATCTGAGTTCACATCCCTCTTTGCTAACCAAAGCACCACGGAAGCAAAACGTGCTGTCAATTTTGATACGTGAATTTTAAAAAGAAATGTAATCCTTGCACATTTGTCATCACTAACACACCTAAGAAAGCTACTTCCAGCAAAGCTGACATTCATGAAGAGCTGATGATTATTACTATAATCTACCAATTTACACTTTTATAATGGAGCATGGTCCCCTTCCTTGGTGCTCTCTCTCACGTATTTTAATAAATGACTCCCTGTCCTTGCAGTGGCAGGACACTGACAGTGCTCTTGTCCCACATTTTCCTGGGGCCAGTTAGAGTGACCTTCATGTTTTTTGGCATTGTCCCCGACAGCTGGCAAGTGGATGGTTTATGCAGTTTTGATTGGAATAGGACATATGCATAGGATGGTTTATGTAAGGATAACCTGGTCTTGAGCAGGACTAGGTGACCTCTGGAGGTCCCTTCCAACCATTTTCTAGGATTCTATAACATCTGCCAACTGATCACTTCCAAGTGCTTTCTACATGTTAATTAACCCCTTCCAGGCCCATGCATGATGAAAAAAGTCCGACTTTTCCCCACTGACGCAGGGAGAGGCTCGAGCTCAGAGAAGCCCAAGTCCTCAGCGTCTGTGGCTGATCGGATTTGCCAACCGTAAAGGAATTTGGGACCGTCACCAGGGCAAGCACCTGCTCTTCAGCCCGAGCCCACGGCAGCCAGGAGCGCGCCTCGCCAAGGGGCGGCCACGAGGCCAGACGCCAGGACACAGAGCCAGGAGCGGGGCCCGGGGCCCGGGGAAGGAGCTGGCAGCGCAGGGCCCAGGGCCGCTGCTCGAGGTGCCGAGGCGCTGCTCCCCGGTGCCCACCTGGGTGCACGCACACGGCCACGTACTTCAGGCACTGCTCGGGCCGCAGGAGCCGCAGGGCCTGGGCCGCCTCCCGGCGCTGCCGCTTCTGCAGCGCGTCCTGCGCCTTCTTCCGCGCTCTGTCCGCCCTCTGCTGCTCCCTGCCGAGCCCCGCGGCCCCG